TTTAACAAAAAGGATGCCCAGTGTACAGGTATTAGGTGGCTTCCACAGACCAATTCTTTATTAAATTATAGAGAGCTTATTTCCAAAATGTGAGGGAATCATTTTTAGCGATGCTGGGATGTTTCTAGAATCTAGGATAATCCAGTTTGTAAGTACTGTTGTTAAGATTCTGTAAGCAAGAACTTCATTCCGTTACTTACCAACACACAAAATGTGACTAATGGATATTTCTCACATGATGAATCTCTCATTTTGGAAAGACGTTCTTTATACAGAGTTGTGACTTTTCAAATGGCTGAGAATTAGCTTCTCTGTCCCTTTTCATGAAATTTTTCTCTGTTTCAGTGGAGTGAAGGGAAGTAAACTTATTTTCTGGCTGCTGCTACTTTTCTTTGATACAGAGAGCCTTTTTTCTGTCACAAGCATTCGTTAACATACTTCTCCTCTATTTCCTGGTTGGTTTCTTCTAGGGTTGTAAACTCTCCTTTAACGGGTCTACACTTTTTTGTTCTTTGTGTAGCAAAACAGAACTGCCTTCATGGTGATTTGTATAAAGACCCTTGATATCAAAGTCAAAAGTCAGATATTACCGTGACAACTTAAGTAAAAACATTTTAGTTTCTTAAAAGCCTGGCCTGATCCAGTTTAATTTAACATCTCACTATTCAGTCTGCTGCAGTTCAAACTGCCCCCGTCTTCCACCATCACTCATTTGGTCTGCATTGTTCACGACTGTCATGCACTAAATGTTGTCTTTTCATCTTTTGTACTTGTCTATCTTTTATCCTCCACTTCTTTTTTCCACAACTTCCCTCCTACATGTTCCTCGTCCTCCTCGTCTCCCTTTTTTGTTGCCTCACTTTTCTGTCTTTCCTGCGTCTCCCCCGCTCCCTCCCGACAAACTTCCTCCTACGTTTCATTCCGTTTTTGGCACGCTTGTCCAACCTCAATAATTACTTCACTCCTAAACCCCGAAATATCAACTATCATTCTGAATCCTGATCCCAAAACTATATAATCCCACTTCCCACATCCTTCCCTAATTCATACTCACCCCTGAACCATTCCTTCACCCCCCCCCCCCCCATCCACTGTCACAGACCTGCGTATGAAGGCCAGGCGACAGTAGCGTTCCCCGAGCAGTTTCTGTCATCTGCCATATAGCAGGCCAATCACTATGAATACCAAGGTACTGGAGAGGAGAACATTCAAAAGGCTCCACAATGATTATAGTGTAGCAGTGAACCCAAAATTCCCTGCAGTCCAGTGTGTTTTCATCTTATCACAGCGCTCAATAGAAAAGAATTTAGCGTCTACAATATTAAGTTTTTGTTCCCAAGTATTTTCTTGCCACCTTTCATTTCTGCCTGCTCGCTCCATTAAACTCTCTATTTCACTCCTATGCATGCTCTACAGTGGTTTTACGGGTCAGTGGTGAACCGACCATGGGTTGCAAGATAGCAGACAGAATTTCCTCAGTTTAGAGCAAAGCACAAACTCTGCTGAAAAGAAACTCGTGCTTGTAAATGAATGCCACTTTTCAGTAGCTGGTTCTCTACTTGGTCTGTTCTTTGCTGGGGGGTAAATCGTGATGTCCGCCTCAACGTGTTTGTCGTTTACCATGTTTCCTTGTGCTCGTTTGGGTTTCTCTCTCAGGGTCCAACATGCACCACAGCAGCAGCAGCTCTCAATGACGGCAGAAGAGCTGCCCGAGGTGTGGCTGTGGGAAAAACTAGAAACAATGAAGAAGTGGGGTCTCAACACTTACAAGGTATCTGTAATGTTGACTAACAAGTTAAAGCTCGTGAACAGATGAAGTTTCAAGATAAAGAGCTACTTGGTGATTTTTTATTGGTTTACTGTGCCCTGAGGATCCTCTGAATCCCTTCTCCCCCAATGTCTTTGTGGAAGGAGGTAAAAGTCACAGGAAGGAATTGCTTTGTGTTACTGATGTGTCTGTGCGTCTTCTTCATTGCGTCAGTGTACAAAGCACAATGATCTCGGAGCGTTTCGGTCGGGGTTCCCGGGACTGTGGACCTGAGCTGGAGGCCCAGATCGAGGTGCTGAGAGACACTAAGAGGAAATACGAGAAACGTCCTGCGACTGGCCAGAGCACTGACCAACCACTTTCTACAACATGGTGCAGACGCAAGCATGCGCTCGGTGAACCTTTGCTGACCTCAGTCAGAAAATCTCCAGAGCTTTAGGGTGAGGCCTCAAAGTGTATTTATGTAGATTTATGTCCACCTGTCTTAACGGCTTAGAGGCCTTTAATACATTGTGTTCTGTATAGTGTGGTTAATGCCTTGTTTTCTATACAGGGCATGAGTTTGGCTACAATGCAGAGACTCAGAAGCTTGCTGTGTAAAACGGGGAGGACTCTACTTGGTGCCATTAACTTCTTTGTGTCCAGCATCAACACACTAGTCAACCAAGACCATGGGAGGACACCTTGTGGACGATCAAGATGTATGAAAAATGCCAGGTAAGGAACATTATTCATATCACCCAAGAGACTGGATGGAAACTGTTTTCAGAGGAGGATCAGCAAAGAGATTTAGACAAAACG